ATGTGATTTAAGTTATGACTATGGCATCTGCACTTCCAACTCCATATGGCATTGAGCAGATTAGTCACCTTCTTTATATTTGGTTTCCCTATCTTTGAAATAACCTGGTAATGTGAAGGCTGCCAAACTCACATAATCTCCATGAGGACCAATGAAATAAAGGGTGTAAAAGTACATTATAAAATAATATGCTTCATATGTAAAATAGTTTAATAACTCTTTTTGTTCCAATTTTTAAAAAAAATTTTAAACTCATTTTAATTATAATTCTAGATCACCATCAAAAGAACCAAATGTGCTTATAGTTGCTCAGGGTTGAGAGCAGATTTTTCAGGGAAGAGCCTGGGAGGGAGGCGAGCATGGGTGGGGACTCCTGCATTTTATTATTGCTCTTCAGCACCTTTGATTCTTTCAGTATTGCACATTTAATTCTAAGTTAACCATCCACAGATAGTTAAGTATCAGTCACATCACCTCAATTCCCCTTCCTCCAAATACATTTATGTCACTATTATTTTTTCCAATTGTTGACTGACTTTTACATTTAAATACTTGATCCTTTATTTTATTATTCATCAAATATTGATACTAGCTCTTAAGCAACTTTAAGATAAATACATTAGCTTAGCAACCTTGCCTTCCTTTTACTTTTCCTCCCCCACCCCAAAGTCCACTCATAAATTCTGTAGTTTATGTTTACATTGCCAAGATTGATAGCATTTGCATTTTGTATCAACATTGTTCTAAGTATTAACTACTACAGAAATAACATCCCTAAGACTCAACTCTTTTAGCATATTGGGGATTCCTAGGCATCTGTGATCCTCAACAAGCATGTAATCAAAGGGCAAAACAAAAAGGGGGTGGTATGTATGCTTGCCCTCCATGGAGTGTAAAATTTCTTAACCAACAAAGCTGGATTTCAAATGTGATATTGAAGGGAAACTTAAATGCCAAAAACATTCTTTTCCCTCAGAAGTTCAGGACAGGGATGTATGGAGCACTGTACATGAACAGTAAAACTCTACAATTTTGTCTAGTCCAGGTTGCTGGCCATGAATTCCAGGCATGGTGCAAAGTATGTTATTAAATAAGTCAGGAGGTATCTGTCTGCTCACCTACACTTTCTGTTGCACAGTAATGACGGGTCCATTACATACAGTACATCAGTTACACTTCCTGGTAGTTGGCTCTTCCAATCACTGCCTATATAATCTTTCCTGTAGAACCGACCCATCTAAAAACAGCCATCTCATCACTTAGTGAGTTATATGATATCTAATCACTGGAGTGTGTACCTGAAACTAATATAATATTGTATGTCAACTATTGAAAAATTAAAAATGATTTAAAAAATAAAATATAAATAAAAAGTTATCCTGGACTCAGTGAAAAACCCCCTAGCGTTCTCTTATCAGCCATAACTAAGGTTTTTCTAGATACAGCACCAATATAGAGCTGTTTAGTTGGCATTTGCAAATTTGTTAAGGATTAAGGATTTCATCAGATGTAATCTTAGCAAATTTATACATGTAATTCTCAGCTGCTTTGTGATCAACAGAAGCTTTTCCACCACAGATTATCAAAAAGCACCATGACATTTGCTAATTTTCTGCATCCAACTTTCTGAATATTCATACTCACCTTCAATGTTTACTTCTTCATGGAATAGCCTGGCTTATTTTAGGATTAGCAAGCAAGTCAGTGGCAAACATCCACTTTATTGTTCTCCAACCTAGGGAAGACAGATAGAGAGACAGCATTTCTTAATGGACTGCTGTTGTGTGCATATTATTTAAAAATATTTTAAATTATAAGTCCACCCATACACACACACATAAATACAAGATATACGGATATATCTTGCCCTATCTTGTGTGTATGTGTGTGTGTTTATCTTGGCCCACCCTATATGTGCTTATTTTTCTGTTTCAACTACAGTGTACTTTTTTTTTTTTTACTTTGTATTGGTTTCAGGTATACAGCATAGTAGTTAGAGAAATAATACAGTTTACAAAGTGTTCCCCCTGATATTCCCAGTATCCACCTGGCACCATACATAGTTATTACAATATTTTTACTGTAATCCCTGTGCTGTACTTTGTATCCCTGTGACTGTTTTTGAAACTACCAATTTGTACTTCTTAGTCCCTTCACCTCTTTCATCCAGTTAGTTCTTCAATCCCCTTCTTCTCTGGCAACCACCAGCTATGTATTTTAAGGCTAAAAAAAAAGAACTGTACAAAAATATTATACTCTAGTTAGCAGATTTTCAATAGGAATATGAATTGACTTAAATATTATTTAAAAAATAAGTATTGACTTTGTATTCTAAGATTAAACACAAAAGGAACTATACACAAATATTGTGCTCTCTTTACTAGGTTCATTTTTCAGAACGGCATATTTGGCAATTTTGAAACTACTTATGTGTGCTCTGGAATTGAGCAAATAACTTAATATATCATAGACAAAAGAGCCTGGTTGGTTACTGCTGGAGAAAGGAGTTATAAACAAGAAAAAAAGGGAAAACTCTCATGAATTCTGTGGCATTTCACTGGAATTGAATATATCAGTATAAACTCATGGTTTTAAAATACATATATGCAAATTGATATAGAAGTAGGTATAACTCTGCCCTCTGAGAGGATTCTAAGCACTGGCATCCTAATAACCAATGAGAAGCTCTTAATTTCCAAATGTCATCCTCCAAGACTTAGAGAAATGGTTGATTCAAGGGGCTGCAGCAGGGAAAGATGAATTACTTTGGTCACTGGGCTGGGGCTAAGGGACTTGCCAAATTCTCTTCACCATTATGTGCCCAGTCATTAGCATAGTACCTGCCTCTAGTAAAGACTCAGCAAATATTTGTGGCTGAAATCGGTGGATTTTAAGCCATGCTCAACACAAGATTTGATTGATGCCCCTATGACTGTTAATGTGATTAAGTTTTCCTTCTTCTTCTGAATCATGAGCATATCTCTAGCTTACAAATGTACCTTTGTCACTTCTGTTCTCCTGTAGAAAACAAGAGTCCTGACACCGAGGAGCATCATGCTGTGAATCAGCAAGTTGACAGTCGTTAACATGGAACTTAGGCATTTTCCCATTTTATTAAGTGTTGGACAATGTGTGCTGTTTACAAGGCTATCAGGAAAGCTGCCAATGTGTTTCTGACAATCTATTTCCATCAGCCTCATGTGGTTCTGCACTTATTAACACATCCCTTTGAGATTCGATTTCATTCTAAACTCCATCCATTCAAAACCACGTGAGTCGAATTCAACACTAAGACATTTCATCAAAATATTCCAATTAATTTCAACTAATTTCATTTCTGTGCTGCTATGAGCATCTTCGTCACCTCCCCATTAGGAGCCAGGGTCTCTGCTTTCAAATATTAAAACAGAGAAGCCAGAGTGGTCTCAGGGAATTTTATGGACCACATGAGAGCAGATAAGAGTAGACATGTGGCTCCTAAAATGTAACTCAGTGCAGTTTACATGGCATTTTCCCCACATTAACATCTTCCATTTCCTCCCACTTTAACCAAACCTTATGCCATTGCAACAATCTGTTTTCCATGATGAAAAGCTTGACCCAATAATTAACATTTTTCAGGCTCTTTGACTTGGTGTGTGAAGGAATTCTTAGCTTTTTTGTTTGTTTGTTAATTCTCACCTGAGGACATTTTTTCCATTGATTTTTAGAAAGAGTGGAAGGAATGGGGAGAGACAGAGAAAGCGAGAAACATCAATGTGGGAGAAACACATCAATTGAGTCTGCAACCGAGGTACATGTCCTTGATTGGGATCAAACCTGCAACCCTTCAGTCTGCAGGCCAATGCTCTATCCACTGAGCCAAACCGGCTATGGTGGAATTCCCACATTTTTAATTCCTCTATGTAGAAGAACAGGCCATACACTTACATTTCCTGCCCTCCCTCCCCCCAGTAGCAAAGTTCAAATTAACCTAGGCTACATCAGACACGTGCGGCTGGATGACAATGTGGTTTTAAGGGGAGGGAGGGAAGAAAGCATCACACCAAATTCACCACAAGTGACATGAGGGGTTCTGAGCCATCAGTGGAGGACATCCTGGAGACGTTGCCTCAGGTCCAAAAGCTGTGGTTTCCATGACTACCAGTGGTAGCAATAGGGTCTCAAGGGGGACAGTCCGGGAGGGCCATTAGGATACTTTCTTTCTATATAGTCTCCGGTCATTATTTTCTGACCTTCCCAGAGATTATTCTACAATGCTTAGACAGATGTATAAAGAAAGGGTTTTAGGAAATGCAAGAGTGAAAGCAATGAGGTACCAGCTAGGAAGCTATGTATTGGCATAATCAGGCAAGAGATTAACCTGGGCTAAGGTGGTACCAATAAAGCTGATCGATGTTCCTATGCTTGGACACTCTGAGTAATGCTGACTACTAAGAATATGGAAACAAAGGGCCCAATCCATTCTTGGAAAGCCTAAATAGTGGGAAAATTCTTCTTTAAGCAATTTGACAAGGCATATCAAGATTGTAGAAAATGCCCATGTTTCTTGGTTAGGAAATCCCCACTCCCAAAAAATGACATACATATACTGCAGAATTATTTGTAGTAGCAAAAGTTAGGCAGCAACCTAAATTCTATACAAACATTTTAACCAAAAAAAAAGAAAAAGTAAGTGCGTTGTGGCATTAATTTTGAGGGTAAATAAAACCTTTAAATCTGGTCATAGAGAGATGATTTTTTTTTTAATATGGTACTGTAACTCAGTGGATTTCTATGCAGCCACTAAAAAAATTAAAGTATGAAAAAACAATTCATCATAGAAAATGTTTGTATAGAATATAAACAAATAAAGATCACCATAAAAGGTGGGTTAGCTTATATCTGCTTTCTTAAAGTAGGTCAGAATGTGAGCAAGGTTTGAAAAGGAACATGGAGAAATAATTGCTGTGCTAAAAGGGTTGAGGGTGTTGTTGTATTTTAATTTTCCATGCATTTCACAGGCTACTGATTTCCATTTTGGCTTCTGGGATATTTCATGTTCCCTTGAGAGTGGTGCCAGACCCAGGAAATCAAATTGCTCTCTGGTAAGTAAAATATAAACTTCCCCAATAAATTTCACCATAACCCTAAATGAATCAGAGGAAATTGCTCTTCTTGGGCATCATAAGTCTTTCTACAGAGCCCAAGGCCAAGGATGAGAAGGTACAAATATAAATCTGGAGACAAATTTTGAGGCCCATATGTCATTTTAATGTATTGGAGCAAAGAATATACTCTTCCAACACTTGTTTCTCTTCCCATTTGTAATTTCTGCTTCTTGGTGGAGAAAAAAAAAAACAAAAGGAAAAAAAAAACAACAGCTCACTAGATAACCCCTCGCATTCTTCACTGGTACACAAACAGCTCTAACATGGCATAATAGAATCTCAAAGAGAAGTCAGTGAGGTCTATTGAATGTTTTGCCCCATGAAAATCTAAGTGTAAGATTTCGTGGGGATAACCCACACCCCTACTGTAAAATGATAAGAAACAAAAGCGTATAACCCTGGGGTAAGAGCACATGACACAGGCGGTTTTCAAACAGAATTGGGATGTTCCTAAAATAAAATCAAGAAGGGACGTGGCAAGACTCATTGTTATCACAATTGTCTTCCCAAATGCACTGCCTATTAAACTGGAGCTCAGGATTCTGAAAAATGTCTGGAAAGAATGCCTGTGGTTTTGAATTTCAGGCAGAGGCAGTTGAACACAACTACAAATGTAGTTGGCATATCCTGTGATGAAAATAACTGCTTTTTTTTAATAATAATAATAATGGGAATAGACGGATGAAGGGAGCATCCTGAGTGCCTTTGTCACCCCAAAGGAACAAGTGACAGGAAACAGTTTGGAGGGGGCTCTTGAGTTGGGAGCCACTCTGTAGGAAATTTCCTGTTTGCCTGGCTTCAGTGTAAGCTTAGAAGCTTCCACTGTACATACCACCTAGTGTCATAGACCCAGGGCGAACCCTGCTTTCCTGGATAAATGCTACGGTCCCTCCCCACATTTAGAGGAGACTAATCTACAAAAAAGTTTTAAAAAACAACATCTTAATAACACAATTGTCTGACGAGCATATGTGTGGTGGGAGTGTAAGTTCATACATGCTTTGTGAAGAGCTGCTTGGACATGTTTACTTAATATAAAAGTGTACACTCAGCAAGTCCGCTCTGAAATGTATCCTGCAGGTATGCTTGCACTTGAAAAAAATGACATATATATACTGCAGAATTATTTGTAGTAGCAAAAGTTAGGCAGCAACCTAAATTTCCATCCACAGAGAATTTGTTAAATAAATTGTGGTGCAGCTAATAGCAATGAAATAATATACAGCCAACAAACAAATGAAAAGGTACTCTATGTACAAATATGGACTAAATCTTTGAGATATATTGTTAAGTAATAAAAGCAATATATAATGTATATACAGTAAGACAGTATGAATCCATCTATGTGTGTTTGAATATGCATTTGAAAACTCAGAGACTATCCCTGGAGGCAGGCACAAGAAACTAGCAACAGAATTTATCTCTGGGAAGGGGAAGGGAAATGGGTGTCTGGGGAATAGAAATAGGAAATGGAGCTTTCTGTCTTGTCCCCATTGCCCACCCCCCATTCTGCTAAATTTTGCATTATTTGGTCCAAAAAAATTGATTCCTTAAACTATTGCATCAGGAAATTGGGACTAGACCAGGGACAGGGAATGGGAGGTTCTATTTTTTATTTTTTATTGTAAGCTTACTTCTATATCATTTGACTTAATGTGTGCTATTTTTATCTTGGTTTAAAAATTAACCATAAAAATAATTTTAAATATTCTGTTCTATTTAAAACACTCTATCCCGCTATTCAGTTGTTTGTGCCAAGTTTTAAGAGTAGAAAATATGTCACTGGAGCTATAATAGTGACAAAATATTCAGGATATTATGGGAACAAAAAGAGAGATCAATTAATTCTGCAGTCGGGTGGATGGTTACCAGGAAACGCAGGGGGGGAGGGAGGCTCAGGTTAAATGGGCCCATAAAGAGTGTTAAATTCACCAGACAGGCACCTACCCAAAAGCTTTGTAGGCATGAGGTGCAGCCTAGGCAAAAGCACGGCAATGCACAGAGCAGGTCATTTGGGGGAACCACAAGTGATCTGGTGGGTGCGAGGGTAGAAATGGCTTGAAAGGCATGGCTCAACATCAGCCGGAAAGGGGGAAAGTGAGTTGGAGGGAATATACCAAGGGCCTTGAATGCCATTACTCAGGAATATTGACCTTGTTTAATACATCAGTGGATCCTAAACCTAAGTGGTTATCAGAATTACCTGAGGGATCTTTGTAAAAATCCTAATTCCATGCCCTTCCAGCATACTAATTATATCTGACTTTCTGATGGATAGAGCTGGGAATCTAATTTAAAACTAACATCCCTCCGCCTCAGCCATCCCACAGACATTGGGGAGGCATCAGAATTCCACTTACAAGCACCATTCTATGTGCAAGGAGAAAGAAATGAAACCGGACATCGCACTAGGAGGTGATTAGGAATTAATCATATGTACAGTCTCACTTTTCGTACCTGTCAGGCTGAAAATGAAGATCTCTGTCCAGATTCTTAAAATTCTGAACTCATTCTTGCCAGGGCTGTGCCGAAGATGGGACAGGAATGGAACTGGGAAGAAAGTAAGAGAAGAGGAAGAGCTGCATTTTAATCTGCTCCCTTTCCTCCCTGCTCCTCTCTCCAAGCATTCTCATTGTGTTCGTGCCGTGAATGCCTGGTCAGGAAGAACATGAAAGATGCCAGGACAATCAAGCACATGTATTAAGGTTTTCCTTAGAAGCAAGGACTTTTTCTGTCTTTTGTTGAAATAGCAATAACTGCAACCTATCACAGCAAGCCATGTCCTGGGCAGCAGATTTTATGTGACCTTGAGGACAATGTGTTCAGTTGCTGTCATGAGGCCCCAGGCTGATGTTAATGACACAAATGATGCTTGCCAGAAACTGTGCTCATGAACTCCTCCAGGATCCTCCTCCCACTAGAAGTTTTGCTTTGTTGATTTCACACATACCTGCTGAGCACAAAGATATGCCCTCAAGGATGTCACCCTTCCCTATTGATGAAGAGATCTGTGGTTTCTTCATCCTGCCCAGCGTCATGTCAAAGTGATAGCAACCCCAAAGGCAGGTCTTCAGTAGAACAATCCCGGCTGATTTCATTAAACAGAGAATATTACATTTGAAAAGAACCTTCAGTATCATTTTGTACAACCACTTCATCTATAGATGACAGAATGAAGATGCAGGACAATAATTGATTTGTTCAAAGTTATACAGGGGGCATAGGGCCAAACTCAAGCTGAATTCAGACGCCCTGACTTGCACTCTGAATCTCGTAGGCTGGGTAAGGGCAATTTCAATCCCAACATTTTAACTAATCTGCCTGAATAGAATATGAGTGGGACTAGGCATTAGATTCACTTTATCTCTTGAGGGAGGTGAGGCAATTTGAGAACTTTAAAGTTACTGAGATGTGATATGCAGACACGCAGGAGGGATTCTACCTGTGTGTCACATACCTAATTCTACCAGTTATTGAGTGTCAATGATGAATGATAAGTAATACAGTAAGACTTTATACTTGAATATTGCCAATTATCAATAATGAAGTGGTTAAATGTGCTTATTCTCATCTGTGCTAGCTCCAAACCTATTGTCTATCCATATTCCTTTATCCCCTTCTCTCTCCACTGCATTGTACTGAGACCTTAGAATCATTCCCCCACGCAACTCTAGACAATGACTGTCAATCCATCTAAGATGACATCTGAGTGCATGCATTTTGCTCATTTGCCTTTCTACATCAAAACCTAAAATAGAATGGCTTCAAGGATAGAATAGAGAGGAAAATCAAGAGGAGTGTTCTACTAGGTAACACAAAAATGACTGGCTGTCAGACTGCCCAGAACCAATTCAATATGATTCACTAAATGTGTACTGGGTGACAGCATCACATGGGATAAGGGATATATTGACATGATTCAACATCTTCAAATGTTGCCACACCAGAGTAGGAAATATTTCTATAAACAGAAAAATGTTAAACACTATAGTAGTGATTGTAACTGAATAAGTGCCATGCCTTTGGTTAGGGATCATGACTATATTTATTTTCACTGTTGTATACCCGGCTGGTTGTATACTTCAGCACTAGGCATCATATGTGGCATCGACTAGGAACTCAGTGATATCTGTGAAATGGTTGAGGCAGATATAAGAATACTTTTTTTTTTCTGGATAAATGTACAAAAGCATTAAGGGAAAAAATCAATCTTTCCCTGAATCTTGCAAAATCAATAAGAGTTTTTCAGATGAAGAAGCATGCATGAAAAGAACTCTTATTTATAACTCTCCTCCAATACTATGATGAAAAACAAAATCAGCCATTTGTCCTTCCTTTGTTCATAGATAAGATAACAATCATCCGTGACCCAAATGATTTAGGAGTGCTGAAGGCATATATAATAAAGTGAAAGGAATAACTATGTTTTCATCATAGCTGTTGTAATCCATCTTTATTTGCGGTAGATACCCTAGAAATGTCCCCAAATCAATAGTGCCCCCAAGATTTCACCTGAGTACGGGCTCTCAGAGCCATCTTTTATTGGGCCTCTTTGTGGAGTACTAATTAAAATCGGTTAAAGTGACATGTCCTTTACTGGCTGGGTTTTCCCAGTGCAGAACAAAGAGACAGAAGAAAAGACTTGACGGGTAATAACGTGCTACTTGTTTTTACTCCAGAAATCGCAGATGTCTGTTTCTAATGGATGAACAACTGAAATTTCAAAGCACTTATTTCAAGCATAACTAAGTGCCTTCCATCAAGCTGTGGCGTTCGAGATTTGATTAGCATGATCTCTTCTGTGGTTGTGCTTGAGAGAATTCATTCCTCATCTATATGAAGAATGTCTTCATTCTTCCTTATCTTTGAACTTCAATAAGCCTTTGATAGCCCCTGCCCCCATCTTTTCCCCTAAGTGACAGACTCTTTTGTATGGT